GAGAAACAACCATATAACTTCCGATCATTTATAGCAAACTATTACACCTTATTTATTATAAATCAAAATATTTTTATAATATTATTACTTATAGCTATCTTTTCTATTTTATAGCAAAATATGTATTTATTTATACATACCATTGAGGCATGAAATACGCTAACTGTGTTCTTTCTCTCTATCAGCAAGATTCTCAAACTTCTCTCTATCAGCAAGATTCTCAAACTTCTCTCTTCTCCCTCAAAATTAAACAACGTATACAGCTTTTTGCTCGTCTCCATTGAAATGGATTGAACAGAGAAACGAACAAAATACTCCCTTTTCTGAACAATTGAACAGGGAAACGAACAAAATACTCCCTTTTCTGAATATTGAACAAAATGCTCTCTCGTCTCCCTCAGAATCGTCGGCGTCGCCATCTACTAATGGCTAATCCTTTTAGGCGAACAGATCTGGCCATGGCTACGCCGGAGAAGATTTGAGGGCCGAGTTTTTGTTCGTCTCCATTTTTTGTTTTAATACAATATATACAGTATTTTGCTTGGCCGGAAAACGCCATCTCTGGCGAACTTTTCTTCTCATTTTTGCTATTTAGTCACATACAATGCTACAAATACATTGTATTCTATACAAATACACTCAAATATATTATATTTTTGTACAAATACATTATTTTTTCGCCTGTATTTATGTATTCTAAAGGTCTGTATTTTTTTAATACAACTGAATATCACTGTGTATTGTGATTTTTTGTTGTTTGAATACAGTCGAATTGAATAGAACAGTATATACCTTATTTCTTGATTACCTCACTGTATTTATAAATACAGTCGCACGAATACATGGAATACATCACATTAGCAACGAAATTTATGTACAATTAATTTTATGGAGTTAAATTAGGAGTGATACACGCTAATTGATCCTCTTTCCGTTATTAAACAGTCGGGCTCCCCTATTTTTTTAAGGCGAATTCCGCTACTGTATTCATGAATACAATAGCGCGAATACAATGAATACAGTCGCACAACTGAACTCCCCTATTTTTTAGGCGAATTTCGCTACTATATTCATGAATACACTAGAGCGAATACAACGAATACAGTCTCGTAATAACTAAATAGTAGTTATAGAAAGTAATTATATATATGGTAGCTATAGAAAGTTAATAGTCACTAAACAGTAGTGATTTCTGAAAATTTCTCTACATATAATGCACGCGCTCACACACACATATAGATGCAAAAATGTGGTTGAGAAAAATTGAATTGTATAAATATACACACACACATAAATTTATTTATTTATATTAAATTGACGACCATTATCTCAAAGAAAAAGAAGTAGAAGGTGTAATACCTAAGTCCACTAACTTCAGATCCTGGGTCTCTTTTCCAATTTCTTAAGTAGTAGTTTTGCAAATGGGCCTCTTTTCCTGGCCGGTATAAATAGATTATATATTGATTATATACGGTTATACATATATTATATATACTAGTCTTCGCGTTACGCGTGTCCCTCGTGTTAATGAAAATAAATTTTTAAAAATAACATAAATAATATTCAAAAGAAGTGTTTGCATTATAACATAAAAGTTAACACGAAATTAAGTTCCAAAATGATAGATATTAATCATATTCGGGAGTTTGATCTACTTTAGTTGTTCTTCCTTCACTTTGTTCTCTTACTTACTTCATTCTACAAAAAAGTCATAGAAGTAGCGTTGATTGAAAGGTAAAAAAATCATTCAACTTTATTTGATCACTTGCATAGGTGCATTGTATGTATATTTCATGTTATTTACTACACAATTTGTATTAGATAGTTTACCAAAAATAAAAATTTCTTTACCCATATTTTACTTATTTAATTTTAACGGGACCTCTAAACTGTAACCTTATTCTATTTATACCTAAGTAATCACATAGGCATCCGAACTCGATTATTATTATCTGTTCTTATAAATTTTTAGCTCAACTGTTATCTTATTTTACCGATAATTTTTTTCTAATATGTACTACATGCACTTTTTATACGTGCCCTAGCTAAAACAATTAACTAATAATTGTTATGTCGTAATTGAACTATGTTTATTTTACATCCTACTATAGTTAACAATTTAAATAAGAAAACGACTTACATAAGTTAAAAAAATCTTGATTTTGTATCCCTAAATATTAGGAGTTCCTACATAATTCAAATTAGGAAAGAAAATTTTAGTTGATTTTAAAATCCTTAAAATTAAAAAAATTATTTAATTACGATTTTGTCCAACGTGAAACTTATTTTTAAAGGGTAAAAAATGCGAACAACATTTCGCTAAGGGGTTTCTTGCTTTTAATATAGTGTATAAATATTATATATTTTCTGGCTATTTTTAGTTTACGCACTGGGTGGGTGGCTATTTAGGTTAATTTTTCAAAAGTAGTTAAGGCTAAAGTAGTTCACAAATGAAATGATCAAATGATTCTGAATTTCTGATTTCCACTTTCGTCCACTCCAAGTAAGATGGACAATAAATTCTTATTTTGGGCCTCTCGTACTCAAGAAACTGGGCAAAAAATGTACAAAGCAAATTAAAGGGGGGAAAACGCAAATAGCCGCCCACTATTATTCTCAACTCTGCATAGCCCTAAAAATTAAACTACACATAACCCTATAATAGTGTAGCCAAATCAATTAGATATTCCAATAAAATCCCTGTATATCAAAAAATAAAATTCTTGTAACCAACCAAATTTCGAGAGCAGTTTTGAATTCAATCAATTATTCTACCCAATTCTTTCTAGCATGCCTTTTCCACCACTCCAAAAGCCTCTCACATAAAATAAATATTTCTAGCTTTTTCCTCATTGTCATTGAAGCTAGAACCCAAAACTTTTTGGTTCTTCAAAAATCACTTTGCCATTGGTGAAATGAATAGAACGACGTATACAAAAATATCAGGAAATTTAAAAAATCAAGAGAAACAATTGGATTTAGAGTCTCTCATACTTCAACATCTATCATAGTTTGAATCCATTATACAAATGCTTATACACATTATACACTTGGTATGCAGTGTATAATTGATGCATAATCTATGTATAATCAGTGTGTATAAATTATACACTTATTATACCCAAATTATACACTTAATATGCACCAAAATAAAATAGACCCAAAGCCTCCACCTATACACGATTCTACTTCAAGCAAAAAATTTCATCCACTATATCAATCCATAAACAGTAATACATATTTTCAGTAATCACCACCGACAAGAAAGAACAGAATTCCAGATCCACCATCCAAAAATCAAGTTGACAGTAGAGATAAAGAAAGAGAAAAAGCAATTAGGTTTGAGGCTGAGAGAAAGAAGAGAAGGTATGGGTGGAGGGGATGAAGGACGAGAAAGAAGAAAGTGAAAGAAAAAATAAAAAAGAAAAGTCAACAGACTTTTTAAGAAAGAGCGAGACGATGCAAAGAGAGGATGATGGATGTGAGCGTTAGGGTTTTTCTTGGGAAAGTGGGAATAGGATAAAAAAAGTAAAGGAAGGATACTAATTGTTTAAACAGAGTAATAAAAGTAAAATGAGGTTATTTAAAGTTTATATCCTAAATGTGGTGCTAGTCCAGTTAATTGAAGCAATTAAACCTGGCAAAGTGCACTAGTATCCACTTTTAAGCATGCTATTTAAAATATATCTATAATTTACAATATATTTAAAGATTAGTCAATTCACCCAAACTTAAGGACTAAGCATCCTGAAGTTTTGTATCCTAAATTTTTGAGCTGCTAATTTAAAATTCAAGACTTAATGTCCTAAATTTTTGAGCTGATAATTTGAAATTCAGGACTAAGTGTCCTGAATTTCTGAACTGCTAATTGAAAATTCAGAAAATAAAATTCTAATTTTTGGATACGGTATTCGAACTGTAGGACACGATGTCCTGAAGTTTGAATCTTGAGGTTTAACCTTCAGGACGTCATGTCCTGAAGTTTGAGCGAATTGGTTAATCTTTGGACCAGTTTGACCATAGATTTTGCCAAAATTTATTTGGTTTTTTTTTTGGCAAATACATGTTTGTTCATAAATTTTATCTATATTTTGGCAAATTTTCAAAACCCAAAATCCAAAATATTACTATTATATTTTTTAAAAAAAATTACCCCAAACTTTTATATTTTATAAAAGAGCCCACCATTTATTATTTTGTAACAATGTTGTTTCGCCTTCTTGGTCATCTGATAGTGTATTATGTAGTTCATTACAAAAATGATAATTTTGTACCAAATTTATTTATGTTCAGGACTATGGTTTGCGATAATATAATGAATGTTATTGATGAAGTTATTGTTGGGTATTTGTGATAGTTTTTAGAACTTGTGGGTATAAGTTATGTTTCATGTTTTTTCAAAAAAAAAAAATGAAATATGTTTTGAAAACTGATGTCCAAACACATTTCATCTTCAAACCAAACTTCACCCAAATCAGATTTTTCAAAACAAATTTGGAAATGTATGGCCAAACACTAGCTTTAAGTACATTATAAACTGTGGATATATTTCAAACATCATGCTTAAAAGTGGCTACCTTGTATCATTTCCACAATTAAACATGGTCTACTCGTTTGACACGATCAAATCGAGTATACAATCAATGGAAGAACCATAAGCAGGTGAAATATTGTTTTTTCCAATTGATGGATCCTATTTCCCCAAAGTTGATCCTTGAACTTCCAGGAAAACTAGTCCATGTAAAGATTAACTTCTCCAAATTCTGTTGCCAAGATCTAGCAGTTTGATGTACTTTCTTTTTCACATACACATATGTACACGCAGAAAATATTACACATATCTGCTCACACTTGGCTGAATTTTGCAGCCAAATGATCTCGATGAAAAAAAAGCACATTGGAAGGCCATAAGCCAGAATGTGAAATATACAGGCATATGAAGTTAAGTGAAAACACTCATTGGTCATTTAGACAATTGGAGCATTGTAAACCATCACACATCTATTGACAATTAGAGTTGTATAAATGATAACAAGTTTATATTTTTCAGTTTGATACAAGTTACAATACATCAAGAATCTATAAGGATATTCTGGTTGTTGTTCACTTCATCTTAGAAATTTGTCTTTTAAATACAAGTTATAATATGATACAGTACACCCTGATCAAGAATGTTCAGGAATTTGTCTAGCAAATTTGCTTTCCGTCTACTGTGCAGCTCGTATCCACTATATAATCCATCATAAGCTTTTTATTAGAATCATCCACCATCTGCAAAATCCGAAGATATAGTAGATACAACTAAGACACATAACAGAAGTGGCAGAGGAGTTCATTGACGAGGTAAAGCAATAAACTTTGGGCTTTAACTTTTAAATACTAAGAATAGTGTGAAATCTTTTTTTACACCATCAGGTGACCTTAAAGGTATAATCAATGTAATTAGCAACTTGAAAAATACATTGATCATTAAAAAGAAATCATATGCACGTCAGTGAATATTAGATAAATCCATAATCTTTTACCTTTGATGCTAAGCGCTTCAAGTTATCCCATTCAAAATCTTCCTTACAGTATGCTGATCGAACCTTTATTAAGATATATCTAATTCAGTTTGATGTCATAAATTGATATGACGAACAAACTAGGGAGGAAAAAAGAGGCTAGAGAGAGTAAGCCAACCTCTAAGATGCGCAAAGCTGGAAGAAGGAGCCACAAAGTTCCCACAGATTCCAGTGAAACATTTAAACAAAAGAAAGGTTAGGACTTTGACACATTGTATATAACTTGGTAAGAGAAATTACTCAGTTGATAAAGTCTGGTATTCTTTAATTGCAGAAACAGATTTTTATGTCTTGGGGATATTTGACAGGAAAACAAGAATCCTAGTAAACAGACATCTTGGAGAAGAATTTTGGCTTAAATAGTTACAAATAAATTTGGAAATTGTTGATGTACCTAGATTTTTATGTCTTGGGGATTCCCTCATCAAATCTGCGCAAAACTTATCACCATCACTCAATGGATTTCTATCGAGAAACTCCCTCAGCTCCTCATATGCCTCAGGATTGTAGCTCTGCCATGTGAAATTTTGGTTAATGACTAGTTTTAAGGGGATTTAACTTATAGGCAGTATAATTTTTTTTAAAACTAGTGCATTTTAATCTGTTTTAATAGGAAATCTCTCTTATTAAACTAGTGAATAATGTCATCTTTTAGGTGATCTGGTAGTGTAAAAATTTATTTTGTATTGTGGACGCATAGAAGTTAAACTCTAAAAAGAAAAACCTATGCTTCATATTTGTTCTAGTATATCCTTTTATCTATATGTAGAAATACCGAGACATGCTTATGAGATGAATTGTTCTTCAACTATTTGCTAAGTAGGAGATAATGAACCTGAAGCTGTGCAGCAACAATTTTAACAGCAATATAGTTGAAAAAGTCGTGTAGATGTTTGGCTGCAGTGGATTCTGGTGATGTCCCAAATCCTGCATAAGTCAACATAAATCTTATCAGATTTGTGAAGGTAGAAGGTAGCTAGCAGTAAATCAAGGTGTAAACAAGCAAATCGGGACACTACAGTTATTAAACAAATGCGCTTAAATCCGATAATTGCAACACAAGAAAAGGCAACTATATATATACTGATTACACACCAGGGACGTACATCTTGTGACACTGGAGACGGTTAGGTTGGGAAGTTCTCTGCATCCATGGCCATGGCTTGAATGGGTAAGCTCTGGTTTCTGTTTGAAGTCTTGAGGGAAATAAGGATAGCTGCGAAAATATGGTTGCTGTAGAGTACTCCATTGACACCAGTAGTTGTGCTAGATTGTTTGTTTGCTAAGCGAAGAGTATTAAAGCGTTGGGTAAGTTAATTTTCAAATGGCAGTGGTCCTAACGAATAAAATCTTAGGAAAACGAAAATAAAGAAAGAAATATCTCTGGTCCATTGCATAAATATCTCGAGACTCTGCAAAAGGAAAACAGCTAGTACTATAGTTTTTGTATTTTACTCTTGCGAAGATGAAATATGGATCCCACTCTATCCAATGCACATAAGCCGCATTGCCACGTTGATAAACTAGAACCAAGTGAGAACTGAGAAGAGGTCTTATGACTTTAAGTCAACGTTATCAACTAGAGATTTGTCTCTCTATAATCAACATCGATTTTTTGGCATGTTTGTTCAAGGGAACAAATAATACTTCTCCGGATCATGTGTTTATACCAATCCTATAAGTATATGATATATATCTTTACAAATATAATTATAACTAAATATAGTTAATTGATATTTACATCTTAATTTATCACTTAATCATGATAAAATAATATGATCTGATTTAAATACAACAATATAAGTAAGTTTTTACCGAACTACATGTTTGGACGGCAATTCAATTGAATTCCCTTAGATACAATGAAAGTTTCTAATATGGTGATTAATGTAGCTCGAAAGTTATCTTAAGTAGTAGGTTTGATTCTCAGTTCAAACACTTTATTTGACCTTGTTAAAATTTCTCTATTAGAATTCTTTATTCACCAATGGTCCGTCAGAAAAGGAAAACCGGATCCCCCGAGGAAAAAAAACATTTACACCACCTGATATATCATAAAGCTAATAAATGTTGACATTAAAAACCAACATTGATATTCAATAGAAAAATTTACAGCCTTTGTTTACATGGACTGCACGCTAGAAGAACGCCAGTATTTGTACAATTGTACTAACTTAATGATTTTTAGTTTGAACAGAGCTAGTATTACTTTGGTATGCATGGTTGTACCCCAATGAAACAAGTAGATAAATAAATGAAGTGACTTTACAATGTCTGAACTTACATTCTCTTATAATCTATATGATTTATATTTTCTAAGAAACCGTCACAATAATTTGTGCGAAAGGGAACTTGAACTTTAGACCATGCTTTTAACAAAGTCGCAAAGAGTGGCACTACCATAAGGTGTCGTGATCAATGATACAATTTCCGAAGGTATGCCCTTCTCTCGTTGGTGTACATAAGCAAAAACAGAAAAGAAGAACATTAACTTTTTTAGTAAAGTTTAAGTTATGAGCACCGACACTTTATAATGTTTTTACGCCAATAGGTTAAAGTTATTTGCACTAGCATCTAACTATTCCTAACAAACGTGATCTGATAACCCAAAAAATAAAGTGGATAATATGCTATTTTAAATTAAATTACATTGATAGGAGTAATATAAAATTATTCTTAACACCTTAGTATGATGACCCGCCATATTATCATGCTATATAGGTATCATTTGATATATATTAATATTATGTGGAAGCTTACATAGGAGGAAAGCTAGTATTTGTGAAAAGATTCTAGAGAAGTATGGACATTTCCTTTGAAAGACCCTAGATGTTTATGGATTTGCTAGAAAATTATTTGGAATCTTCTAGGCTTGTAGAGAATTTTAGAGAAAGCCTTTATCTTGTAAATATTAAGGACTTGTGTAACAATTAATATTTACACTCTAGCCCCTAGGAGACTAGTATATTAAGGGGGCCATTCATTTGTAATTCATCAAGAAAATAATTCAAGTTCTCTCTAATACAAAGCTTCCTTTAACAATTATGTTGTGTTCTTTCTACCATTCTCTTAGCGATCTTGAGTGTAGTAAGGTTGACTTGGCATAGCAAAAACGTGAACAAATTGTGCAAGATCGTGAGCGAGTTGTCAAGCGCCACACGTGTACTTAGTTAACGACTAAGGACATGACAACGTGGTATCAGAGCAAAGGTTGCAACTAAGGGAATGGCGAACGACGGATAAATTAACGATGCCAACACCCAAGCCAACGTCATCCAAGATGTTGCTGGCAAGAGTGGCCGTAACAAAAAGAGGAATGACACCAACAAGAGCCGGGAGGTGCCACCCGAGGTTGTGTCAAATGAAGGGCTTACATCCCAAGAACCATTTGCCACTGAGGCGAGCGAGGATGAAGTGGAGGTCCTGCCCAAGGACGTCTCGCTCGGTAAAAATTTAGTGATGAAGATGAACGCGGGGATGGATGACATGGAGATCTTTGGCCAACACTTGGGGAAAGTGGAAGGCACCCTTAGCGTTCTTGAGGGGCACATTCTTGAAGAGATTGAGAGTATCTGAAATGACCTAGAGGAACGTACACAGACCGAGATGGAACTAAGGCAAACCATCACTGCCTTTGCAGACTCATAGAGGCTTTGATTACTATCGATGCTATGAAGGCAAAGATAGAGTCACTCGAGGAGCATGTTAGTGCTAGCGTGATCGAGGCAGCCAGCAATATTGTGGTGACGAGGGAGGCCAAGACCGATGCTCCCAAACCCCTGGTGTTCAAAGGTGTTCGTGATGCATAAGAAGTGAAAAACTTCCTTTAGCACTTGGAAAACTACTTCACGCACGGCAAAGTGAGGGACGACGAGGCCATGATCAACATTGCAGTGTTGTACCTCTCAAAGACTGTCATGCTTTGGTGGAGAAGGAATATGGCCGATGTGGATAAAAGTCTATTTACTATTAGCACGTAGGACCAGTTCAAAGCCGTGTTCAAGTGACAGTTTTTTCCAAACAATGTCCTGTACGAGGCAAGGCGTAATCTTAGGGAGTTGAAGCAAACAGGGAGCATACGTGTCTATGTCAAGGAGTTCACTACCCTTATGCTTCAAATACCCAACCTGACCAATGATGACTTGTTGTTCCACTTCATGGACGGGGTGAAAAATTGGGCTAAGCAGGAGTTGCAATGTCGGCAAGTCGCAGATATAGACCAAGCCATAGTGGAGGCCGAATCATTTTGAAGGATTTCAGGCATGACAAGCACGACAAAGGCAAATGCAAAGAATCAAAGTTTAACAATGTCAAAGGTGGGGGAGACCGTGGCAAAGGCAAGGAGATACAACAACAATACTACAAGACTCAAAATTCCAAAAAGTTGTGTGGCCGTGAGGGCTACGCCGAGAAGAAGGCACAGGCCGAGAAGAAGGGATGTTACATATGCGGAGGGCCGCACAGCTTCAAGAATTGTCCCGACCTAAAGAGCCTCAGTGCCATGGTCTGTGAACAGAAGGAGCAGCCGCAAGGAGAGAATTCGGGAACCGCACAGTTGGGTATGATCGGATTATGCGGTGCTGTCACGAAGCAATCTATCCAACCTACCGAGAATGGAAATCAGTACGTGGATCTCACCATCAACAACAACCATCCTCGTGTAATGGTGGATACTGGAGCAACTCATAATTTCGTGACTGAGGTTGCCGCAAAGAGACTAGAATTGAAGCTTGCTCCAACCAACTCTCGCGTTAAGACTGTGAATGCCGAGGACAGAATGCTCATGGGGTAGCTAATGGAGTTGGTGTCAAATTGGAAACTTAGAAAGGTATGACAAACTTTACTGTAATCGCTATGGATATCTTTGACATAGCTGTTGGCAAGAGTGGCCGTAACAAAAAGAGGAATAACACCAACAAGAGCCGGGAGGTGCCACCCGAGGTTGTGTCAAATGAAGGGCTTACATCCCAAGAACCATTTGCCACTGAGGCGAGCGAGGATGAAGTGGAGGTCCTGCCCAAGGACGTCTCGCTCGGTAAAAATTTAGTGATGAAGATGAACGCGGGGATGGATGACATGGAGATCTTTGGCCAACACTTGGGGAAAGTGGAAGGCACCCTTAGCGTTCTTGAGGGGCACATTCTTGAAGAGATTGAGAGTATCTGAAATGACCTAGAGGAACGTACACAGACCGAGATGGAACTAAGGCAAACCACCACTGCCTTTGCAGACTCATAGAGGCTTTGATTACTATCGATGCTATGAAGGCAAAGATAGAGTCACTCAAGGATCATGTTAGTGCTAGCGTGATCGAGGCAGCCAACAATGTTGTGGTGACAAGGGAGGCCAAGACCGAGGCTCCCAAACCCCTGGTGTTCAAAGGTGTTCGTGATGCATAAGAAGTGAAAAACTTCCTTTAGCACTTGGAAAAGTACTTCAGGCACAGCAAAGTGAGGGACGACGAAGCCATGATCAACATTGCAGTGTTGTACCTCTCAGAGACTGCCATGCTTTGGTGGAGAAGGAATATGGCCGATGTGGATAAAAGTCTATGTACTATTAGCACGTGGGACCAGTTCAAAGCCGTGTTCAAGCGACAGTTCTTTCCAAATAATGTCCTGTACGAGGCAAGGCGTAATCTTAGGGAGTTGAAGAAAATAGGGAGCATACGTGTCTATGTCAAGGAGTTCACTACCCTTATGCTTCAAATCCCCAACCTGACCAGTGATGACTTGTTGTTCCACTTCATGGACGGGTTGAAAAATTGGGCTAAGAAGGAGTTGCATTGCCGGCAAGTCACAGATATAGACCAAGCCATAGTGGAGGCCGAATCATTGATGGATTTCAGGCATGACAAGCACGACAAAGGCAAATGCAAAGAATCAAAGTTTAACAATGTCAAAGGTGGGGGAGACCGTGGCAAAGGTAAGGATATACAACAACAATACTACAAGACTCAAAATTCCAAAAAGTCATGTGGCCGTGCGGGCTACGCCGAGAAGAAGGCACAGGCCGAGAAGAAGGGATGTTACATATACGGAGGGCCGCACAGCTTCAAGAATTGTCCCGACCTAAAGAGCCTCAGTGCCATGGTCCATGAACAGAAGGAGCAGCCGCAAGGAGAGAGTTCGGGAACCGCACAGTTGGGTATGATCGGATTATGCGGTGCTGTCACGAAGCAATCTATCCAACCTACCGAGAATGGAAATCAATACGTGGATCTCACCATCAACAACAACCATGCTCGTGCAATGGTGGATACTGGAGCAACTCATAATTTCGTGACTGAGGTTGCCGCAAAGAGACTAGAATTGAAGCTTGCTCCAACCAACTCTCGCGTTAAGACTGTGAATGCCGAGGAGAGAATGCTCGTGGGGTA